GAGTATGCCTGGAATGTGTTGCAATTCGAAATTTCTTTGACGGTTTTTTGACGAAACACGTTACGGTATCGTGACATGTCCATCGGTGCCTCATTTTTCAGAATATTTCGGCAATTTTTACTCGAGGTCAGTCTATGTATGATGCAGACAAAGCAGATGTCTGCTCGCAATACAAACGTCTGCATTGGTAGTATTATGAATAAGAGGATGATGAATAAGAGGAGCCGCAAGAATCCTAGCCACTTATTTCTAGGTCTGCGGAAGCACTGGACCGTTCTGCATTTCCCGATTGAATTCATTCCCCTTTGGGTATTGTAAAACGGATGAAGCACTACTTCCGGATGATCAGCTAAATGTCACGCCTGTTCCCCCCGCAGAGTTGCTGGACGGATGGTCAATTGCGAGTTTTCTTGTGAATCGTAGAGAATGAAATGAATGCGAATATGGCTTGCAGACGGAAACGCGACTGCTTCAAAATCGGCAAGTCGGCTCGTAAAATGTATTACGGAATGCCTTTTCGTGTCCATTCTCGGCCGTCCGCTCGTCAGGAGTCGTCGCTGAACGCGAGATTTCATCGAGAAGGAACGGCTTCGTGGAAGAGGAATCGGGCAACTGGCAATGGAAAAGGCTGAATTGATTCCAACCGAGCATGAGACTTAGAGGTGTGTGGAAAGGGGAAGACTTTGAAAGCGGAAGTTGGCCCTCCTCCGCCTCAAATTCCAAACTTCCCTTCCCCTTCCCATTTTCCCATCTCCGTTGAACGCCGAACACCATTCTTCTTTCCTGTCTCATTTTTATGCTGTCTTAACTCGTGGACCCTTTCGTCTGCCGTGACGAACCCGGACGTTCTCGATCGAAATAAATCAGCGATTCCATACGAAAGGCTATTCTCAACGTGAATATTCTTATCGCTCGGTCCCAATATCGGGAGGGTAGAGAGAAAATAAAAAACCTTTATTTTGAGTTCGAAAATCCTATGAGATTCCCATAAATCCCTGAGAATCCCATTTGCATAACGTAGCAACGCTGCTTGCAAATATATATTAGCGTATTATATATCCAGATACATAATATAGATGTACAATTATATAACTGTATTGTATATCTGACTGTCGAGAGAGGGCTTCCTATTAGGTTTAGCCCTGCAGAATAGCGTCCACCGTAATGGACTATGGAGCGCAATGTCATGATAATATTTAATCGAGAGAAATTGAAAATTCTTTTTATTTTAGATCACTTCATTTTTTCATTGCATTCGAAATGCAATATTGAAATGAAAGTTAGTTTCACCCATATACTTTATATTTGAGAGTATGACCGATTATGTCCACTGTTTCGTTGCATTTTGTGGATGTAAGAGCCGTACGTACACTCATAAGGAAGAATGTCGACAAACATTCCATGATAAAAAATACTAAGTCCAAAAATATATATCACGGAACAACGACGTAATATTATGAAGACTCATGGCGTGAACAGTTTCAGTGCATGCTCCATCTATTGCGCGGACAAAGAGATAAGATAACGCAGCCGAGTGCTCCATTAGCTAGACAGGAGTAGGATGTGTGGGGAAACAATCAGGATCTTCAAAATTCTCTGCTCGTAAAGAAAATTGACTTTCCTGCATTGGCTAAGCGGTGAGGACATTCCACATTCCTCAATTCTCTATTTCTAAAATCAAGCGCGGAGCCAGGCATTTGTCTGGTAATTCTTGTCGCCTCAATGGTAGATGAATGTGCGAGATCGCCGATGCGTTTCGAGCAATTATGTGTTTACGAGAGAATAGGAAAATGAAGCAAATATATTACATCAGTTTGCCATTATCGATTCCTGTACCGATGATCTATGTCTTAGCTGAAAGAAAAAAACAATTACCGGCTGACGCCATTCCGTCAGTTGAGTTTCAGTTTTGGGTGCTTTCTTGTTTATCTTTGGCCAGCATCTGCGTCTCCAACTAGTTTCTTCTCAGACTTCCAAGGGAGTAGCCGCTGTGGGCCTGGCAAGGCGCCGTTTTTGTGCTTGTTTGAAAAAGTTTTGAAACCAAGACTTTTTCTCTTAAGGACGAGAGCTGCGAATTTGCCTCAAACCGATTTTGGCCACCTATGCGATCAAATATTATTTTTAAAATTGCATTTACGTCGGTTGAGGAGAATTCGAGACGCTCCGAGCCATGTTTTGATAACATTGCTTCCATCTCACCGTTGGTTTTGTGAGTTACATGCCAACAAACACAAGAGCTTCGCCTTTTATGAAGCAACGTGTCCGTTTCCATAAACAAAATTCAGGCGTTAAGGGGGTAAATCAAGAAAAAAGTTGTACATCACTCTATAAGGTTTTCATTTGAAACACACTCGTATTTCATGACATTGGTACCAAAATAGCAACAAAATAACCAAATATTGATTTTCTCTTCTTTCGTATTGCTGGAAAGAATGTTGAATGAAAGAATGGAAAAACCTCCTAGCCAAATATTGCGTCCCGAGGATATGAACCTTGAAGATCGGTTTTTTTCGAAACGTGAAATCACAACAGCTAATTCTGTGCAACGTTTCTCCTAAGTCTGCTTGATTCAATGGTGCAAAAATTAATTCCTGAAAAATGTGTTCCCCAATAAAATATTCCTGGTGGGGAAGTATCTGAAGAGTAAATTTTTTCTCTAAATCAGCCAAGCAGTAGCCACGTTCATTCCTAATATCAGCTTTCCATGTCCTTTCCATTTGACTGAAGCCAAACATTTTTTATGAAAACGTCCCCCACCACAGTCAATCATGCCCACCAGGAATGTATCTTAAAAGTGAATTTTTTTTTAATTAACAAATCATTAGGCAAGTTCATGGTCATTTGCTTATTTACATGTCTTTGCTAGACTTGAGTCAAATGAATTATTTAAAAACATCCTACTGAATGAATTCGTCCCAAGGTCATTTACCCCCAAAGGCGGATTTTTTCTAAATTCCGCATTTTAATAGCTACTTTGGCATCAAGTTTCAGATTTCCAACATTTTCAGAACAATGTTGGAACAGGCGTTAGTCACTCAGTCAGTGAATCACTCAGTCACGAACATCTATATTCAGGATGGGACAAAAGTTACCAAGCAATTGTTGAACATAGAACATAGACTAATTTCAAGCGTCATATTGATCGTTGTTTGAATCAAAAGCGCAAACAACGCAGAAAAACGATCGTGGAATATAATATCCAAATCTACCAGCTTCATCCAGCAGCATTATTTTGAAAGGAAGAGAATCAAATTACGAAAACAGCTATTTTCATTATACAAGAACTGTACAATAACTTTTGCCCACCCCGAATACGTCTTAGATTCAAGTAGATTCCGAATTTAACAATTATATTACACGAGGATTGAACGGAAGAAATGTTTACAAGGCCTATTACAGAAGAACCACGAGGTAGATAGCGTAGGCGTACGATTAGGGGTGTTGCACATGAGAAAAATGCGAGAGGTATCACTTGTACCGCTCATGTTAGGTGACCAGTGCAGTCGTGAAACGGTGATCCGCTTATCAAATTGGTCCCGCGTTGAAATACGAGATATCCTTTTTCTGTGGGCCAAGCTCACCTCTGCTGCGGAAATTCATCTCCAGCTGTTGGAGGTGTGTGGGAAGGTCAACCAGACAACAGGTAGCCGCATGGTGCAGACAATTTGTGGGTGAACGTGTGCCCAGGGCAAGAACAAGAACAGTTGCGGGCCTTGCACTTCCTCAATAAAAGACGACGCCATTCGTGTTGGTTGACTAAATCTGGAAGACTCATCAGGCTGATGGTTACTGTGCAACTCTGCAACACCAGCATGATGCAATCTGGCGAAGATGGCCAGGATGTCTCTCACAAGGGTGGCTTCGGTTTCATGGTACGGCTCGTCCCCACGTGGCGCGGCAGACGGCGGGGCTGCTGCAAAATATGGAGTGGGAGTTTTTCAGCGCTTACCCTACAGCCCTGATAGTGAACCAAGCGATGTCCACCTGTTCCCGTTCATGGAGAAGCATCTCAGTGGCCTTCATTCCCAGTTGAAAGCTGAGGTGGTGAAAAAGGTGCAAAATAGCCGTTTGCTCAAGACATGTAATTCTACGCTGCTGGCATTGACAATTTTATGTCACGGTGGGACAAATGCCTCCACGCCTAAGAGGATTTTTGTGGGAAAGTATACCCCCGTGAGCACTCTATGCAGCACATGTATCGTTTGCTTGCAATAAAAACCAACACTTGGATGTAAAGCTTTTGTAAATCTAGGACAATGGTTGTAATGTTTTCTTTTTCCGATCTGCCATCGTATATACCTCGATTCAAACCTTTTTTTATTTACTGTCTCCCTTCCGTGCTTTCGCAGACATGGTGTGACAATTGCCAATGGATGACTCTGACTCTCAGACATCTGGGGGGAGCCTGTACGAGACGCTGGGTTTGGTGGAGAATGCAACTTTTGACGAAGTGAAATCAGCTTTTAGAAAACTTGCACTCAAGTACCATCCTGATAAGAACCGTGGGGACCCGGAGTCTGCAGAGAAGTTCAGGGAAATTGATCTGGCCTATAAAATCCTGTAAGGATTTCGTATAAGCTTTATCTACAGTAGTTGACACTAAAATAAATCTGCGAGCTAAAAAAAGTGTAGCATTTGTAGTTTATCCCAAAATACCACTGTGCCGCCGCAAAATCAACATGCACATTTTGATGGTCGAGTGCTTCTCATATTAGAAGTTCTAGTTTCTGGTGAAAATAGGTGAGATCAATGCAATTTTAATGCTTTTTTAATGTTTTTTTTTTACTTCCCTCTTGAGAAAGTGTTGGTACATACTCCTCTTGCTCAGAATGTTATCATTCTGTGAGAGAAGGTCAGCATTTCAAGTGCAGGAGACAAGGATAAAAACGGACGCAAAATGAAGGCTATTCCACTCATGAGAATAATTTGTAAATTAATCAGTTGTAACAATTATTTCACAACTCAGGCAGTCAAGAGATGAGCTTTTATTTATGCACACAAGTAAATGGGACAAGCTCAGGACATGAAGAAAATGTCTTCGATCTATCCTAGAATTATGACGAACTAACATTTCTCATTTTGATCTCTGAAGTGATGCGCTCTGCATACCATACTGTGCTTGTGGCTTCAGCGCTCCATAATCCAGAGTCGTGATTTTTTTCTTTATTTCATTTTCAAAGTAGTAAAAACGTTACATACATCCTTGTCGAAATATGTGTCACGAGGGGACGTCAGAAGGAATTTTATCGAAATCGTTACTCTCATGATTTCTTTTGTGCCTAACTTCATAATTCTTTACGTACCCCTTCTTGACAGTGGGAAAATTAATGTTGAATTACTTCCCTCCCATAACCTGCCTTCACGAGACACACTTCAAAAGTTTCTCTGCACTCAGCAATTGAGCCGGTACTTCTGAGCCAAGTTTCAAATTTCCCTTGCTCTCTTTTTTGTTGGATTGAAGAAGATCCTGGAAAACGCGCCAATCACGAAATATGTGCCCAGAGGGGTTTTTCCTGAACTAGTGTCAGGTAAACCTGCTGCAAACTGGAGGAAATGGAATGCTCTGTTGTCGTGGAAGGAGTCACCATAATGTTCAGAGACTACCACCCCAGTAGCACCCGAACGTGTTCAATCAACGTTTCATTTAAGTTATTGCCAGAATTCCATTAACGTCCTTGGGAACGTTATATTGACTGCTTATATCTGATTGGAAAGAAAGTTCTCGGAATTTCTTGAATATCTAGTACAATTTTATTCCAGAGCATGTTAGAATGTTCTGCGTGTGTTTATAAGTAGGTCGTGTCCTTCGGCATACAACCGTATATTATTACAGCCCTGGTGCTCTCCAGCCATGAACCAGCCCTACCGTCTTACTAAGGAGCAAGTTCGCCTGCTTCTTCCTTATGACTTCCGAATCAAGAAGAAGGCAGCCAATTCCATCACTGACATCAATACCGCGTTTGGCCCGGACACTGTGTCCAAGAGCACTGCCTATGATTGGTACAGTCACTTCCAGAAAGGAAATGAAAGCCTGGAAGACCAGCCACACACCGGTCGTCCTTCGGAGTTTGATAACTGCCTTGCAGGAGGCACTTGAGGCCAACAACCGGCAAACATCGCGAGAGCTTGCGCTCTTGCTGGGTGTCTCCCATACAACTATCCTTCATCATCTGGCTGAGCTTGGCAAGAAGGCAAAGTTGGGGTGCTGGGTACCCCACAAGCTGGACGATCGGGACCGCCAGCGACGAGTANATTACATTCATGATTGAGATGATTTTACTTTTAAATAAACTGGGTTGTAATAATTGTTCATGAAATTCCGAGAATTTTCTTTCCAATCAGATATGTTAAAAATTCAAAGCAGTGAAAAACGGTTATATTTATGAGTTCCTTGAACTACGTGAATTTTATATTTCCATGGAAAAGGTTCAATAAAACTTGATATTTTCGGATTCATCCGATATGCAATGAACGTTTTTGATACGTTCCTTTCATCATATCAATTGCATTCGGTCTAAGTAGAGTCCTACTCATGCAGCCGGGGGTTAGAAGCCATATTGTGGCCCATTATTTAGATTGAAGGTACTACCTAAAGGTACTATCTTACCCTGGCTGAGATATTCTGGTGGAGAAGAGTGGGGAATTTCAGTCATAAAACAGAAATGAAGTAATGTGAAAACCTATTTTCAATCGCCTTCCTTTTCTTCAACCCCCCCCCCCCTCCCCCGGCCTCGCACTCACTAACGTTAGGCCTAGGCATAACCAACAGACTGCCTTCAGGTCACGCCAAGGCCTACCTTTTCTTTTCAAAAGAAACTCCATTCTCGACTTGACGGCGCCAATTCGGCCTGCAAGGGTGAATCGTGGTCTTCAAGACATCTGGTTAAGGACGTGTAACAATAGGCTAATCACAGGCCTATTCATACGTTCATGAACCATTTTAGAGTGGATGTTTAACGTTAGACCGATTGGAGGCCTGTTTCGCGTTTCATGAAACATTTCAGTGGAACGTGGAACGTTAGGCCTATCTGGAGTTCCTCGAGCCATCTCGATTAGGTCTGAGGAGAGAATGCCCTCAAGTAGCGTGGAATCCATGGTACGCACCATCCTGCTAATTCAGGGTTGTCCGGATGTCTAACTATCCCACCAAATCGATCAATAACAGCTAACCACCGCTTCATTCTCATCTCATGAAATCAGCACAAACATGTCTCATACATAAAAAATACCAGATGATTCAGACGCCAATACGGAGGTTGAAACGGTCTTGAATCTGGCATAATTTCGGCACGGTATCCGGCAACACTGCGGGACGGTACCGGAGGAAACACTCTAAGCCTAATTGAACGACAGTTAATTTTATTTTTTATAGCAAAATGGAGCATCGCAAGCAGCAAAAAGCCACTTTTCGTCATCTACGAGTCAATACCTTTCTTATGGTTTGTCTCTTTCCTCCTAAAACCCCCCAGGAGTGGCTACCTAGGGGGGGGGGAGAAAAAAAAAACGGAATGAAATTCTCATCATCCAAAAACAAGATTCAGCGTTCTCCACAACCCCGGGGAGATGGAGCTTCAAATTTTCTGGAGTGATTCTGTGTTGAGAGAGGAAGAAGTATGCCAAATTTCGTTGCTGTTAATGTTCTTAGAGAGGAATACGGGGAGGTTTAACTTTGCGGCGGAAAGGGGTTGAAGAAAGGTAATAGGCGCTACCGCGCCTATTGATTTTCATCCTATCTGCAGATATCTCACATTCAGGAGTCAGACATTCCCTCTACCGAAATCCCTTTTTCTTATGAGAGATATGATTATTGAATGCTGAAATTATTTCGATGTAGTCACCTTGGAAATTGAACCATCTCTGAACCATCTGAATCTCTATCGTTCGAGCCTGAGTTCTCTGGAGACTCCTTGCCTTGGGTTATCTCTAATGACGGAGTTGTTCAAGAAATTGAGTTCATCCGCTCTGCTTATGTGGAGAAAGATCGGCTACATTGTGGAAAGCATTGGGGACTAATTCCAGCTATATCAAGGATTGACCCGCTATAGCGACCACTTTGACGCCATCAATCTTCGGTTGTGAGACCATTTTTTTTTTTCAACAGATGTCAGATTGATACCAATAATATACTTGAGGAAAATATGATAAGCGTTCGGCGAATGTCCTTCAAATGCTGAAGGTTTCATGCTTAAAAGGCACTCAACAGGGCGTGTTAATTCCGGTACACTTGATGTCCAAAGACCTTTATGATAACATGTTGAACGTCCTTGAAAGCGTTTATATGCTACTTGGGTAATATCATCTATGTAATAAAATCTACTGTGGTATGTGGTGGTGGTGGTAGAGGTCGTGGTCGGTGGTTCGTGGCATGCACGCGCATACATGTCAGACGCTTCCGCTCAGCGCGATTGCTTGTGTCCCCCCTATATGGGGGCGGGGGCCCATATAGTCTTCTGCCTGCTTCTGGGTGTACGTCTCCCTCTCTCAGGCTCGCATAGTTTTCTGGCTGTTGCGTCTGTTAGATTTATTCCTGAGAACGCTATAGCCCGGGGGATGGGGGAAGAGTTCAGATGACAAAAGTGGACGAAAATAAAATGACGGAGGGGGCGAGAATCGAGGCCAGGGCCTCCAGGTTGCCGCTCGAGATTGCTACCACTACATCGCCGAACACAAGACATTAATTGGTATGCCATCCATGACGTAACAACGAGAGAGAGAGGCATTCTACGCACACCTCCCGCTTTCTACTTTGATGTGTCCGATACTGACTCTTTCCCGCAGGGACGTGTAAAATGTCCCCGCGTATTACACTTGGAGTCCTCTTTCATCTCTGGAAGAAGGATGACTTCCTCGCCGGTAGGAGATCTCCGTCCATATATTCATCGGGGTCCCGACCCCTTTATCAATCGAAAACCCATCCTCATATTCCTCACGAAGTGAGTGACTCCCAAGGGTGAAAACGACAGGATCCCACCTGTATGGCACAGGAGCGCTTACTCTTGGATAAGAGAGACGACACCGGCGGCGTCGTAACCATCCCGTTTCTCGATCTCCAATTTCTCGAGTGGGACTCAAGTTCCAGGCCTGTCCATGCAGAGATTGCTGGGTCTACGAAGGTGATCACGTTACGCCGCCCTTGCATTATCACTGTCGACCTATTTTACACCCGGTGTGAGGCATGAAGTCAAACGAACTGAAGTTCGATTGACGAAGTGAAAGTTGAAAGGAAACATAGGCTAAAGAAGACGAAGGGCGACATGGTTGTCATGGTTTGTGCATGGTTGGAGTGTTCGCGGGTGTTGGCAGGGCGATCTCCACAGGTCATGGACCTAAAATTTTGCATTTTTCCTGAACTCGTCGTCTCGATAGGCACGTCCATACGAGGTTTCAGCTTTCCATGTCTCTCCGTTTTATTCCAGCAAAAATATTATTATGGAGGGGTGAATGAGTAACGGAACATGGAATGCAAGAGAAGACAAAAAAAAACCATAGAATGGCCGGGAATTGAACCAGGGCCTCCCGACTACCAGTCAGGTGTGCTACCGCTACATCAACGAAGCCTCTCGATGCCATTCTCATCCGTAAAAATATATATTTAAAATAAAACTTCTCCCCCAAAAATGTGTACCCCCAGGGCATGTACCCCCAAAGTAGGATTTTTTCTGAACTCCGCACCCCAAAAGGTACATGGGTACCAAGTTTCAGATTTCTAACCTTTCTAGAACATGGTTAGAATTAGCGTCAGTCCGTCACAATCGTCTATATTAGATGTAAACGATCATGACTGAATGAGTAACTGACTGACGCTAATTTAAATAATTTTCCAGATAATTATGGGATGGATGAAACGTGGTAAGTGGGTTTTCAATTTGTATGCTGAATCCAGAAAAATTCTGACTTTGTATGCCCTGGGGTTATAGAATTTGGGGGAAAATCTTTTGCTTCTGTGAAACGGGCTGACATGGAAAGTTGAAACTTGGTATGAATATGACTACTGACACATAGAGATGAGGAGAAATGTCAAGCTTCCAATGAATCTCCGGGGGGGGTTATTTTTTTACGGTGACATTTTTAATTAATGCAATTTTGCCCTGGGAAATCCATCTGAAACGCAGAGTTGAAACTTGACGCACACATAACAGACATGATGTTCATTTCAGGGAAAAGTCATATTTTGCAGTGGACCACCTCAGAGTACAGTTTTTGGGTGGGTTGTCTTTCCAAAGATATTTTTGCAGCAGCAAAACGGGCAAATGTATAAGACTGAAACTTGGTGTGCAAATAGGTCTCGGAGTACCTATTTTTGTAAAATTATAATTTTCTTTAGGTGAAACACATCAGGGCACATATTTCATGACAGGCGCATTTTCCAGGATCTTTTCCAATCCAACAAAAGAGAGAATAATTTTCAAAAATGTAAACTTGACCTGTTTAATTGCTGAGTGCAGGAAAAAGTCTGCCTTTGAAGTATTTTGCCTCTCAAGGAAAATTATGGGAGGGAAGTATTTCAAGATTTATCTCCCCTCTGACAAAAACGGGCACATGAAGAAATCTAAAGCAGGCACAAAAGAAGTCTTTGGAGCAATGATTTCGAAAAAATTCTGGTGATATCCCTCCATGACACATATTTCGAGAAGGACGTATATTCCACTTTTGTTCATTCGAAAATTTCTCAAATAAATAATCACGTTTCTGGATCATGAAGCGTCCAAGCGCTTATATAGCGCGTTCGTTTGCCGGAAGGGCAACCAAACTCGCTAGGTACTATAAATATATAAGATGAAGTACTTTGCCACAAAAATATGTAATAAAATCTGAAAGGCAAAATTACTAATCAAGCATTTCCAAGTTTACAATGTAAATTGACTAATGTGTTTTCCATGGAAATGTCATTTCAATCTAATCCAATCTTCCTAAAGAAGTATTATCGAATATTTATTACGGAAGTACAGAAGCTGGAAGCATTGTAGCGGAAAGTGGGTAATGCCGAATACCTAAATGTAATATGCTTTGTAGACAAGGAATAATGATTTTAGTGGCAATTTAAATCCGTTCATTTTTGTTGCAATTTGGAAGTTAAAGACAACGTCATTGACAACCAACATTCGTTTTGAACCGAAAATTTTGTTTGTCGAAAATGGCTTTGTTCATAAATACCTCAAATAGGTCCTTTTTGCTTCCATGCAACCTCACGATATGAATACTCTCTGCAGTCACCATCTCAGAAAAAAATGCAAAAGGGTGATTCTATGGAATATCAGCAATTGAGTAACACCCGTCCAAATCAAATTTTGATTAAATTGGGCATGCAGGCTTATAATCCCTGGAAACCTGAAAATTCTGCATCTCAGCAGCATCAGGTCAGTAGGTATGATGCTACAGGGTGTTCAAAAATTAAGGTCATCTTCTAGCCTCAAATTTGTATATCACTATAACTAAAAGCTAGTCATGCCAGAGCCTTCCTTCGCCTTCCTCCTGAGATGCGGTTTCAGCAGAATGGTGCGACGTCACGCACAGCTCGCATAACCATGGACGTTTTCAGAATAACTTTTCCTTGCGGCACGATATCCAGACATGGGGATCTTCATTGGCCATCGCTGTCGCCGGACCTAACAGCTTTAGACCCTGTCTTGGGGGTGGGGGGGGGGGGGGGGGGGGAGAAAAAAAACATGCTTACCCAAACNGGGGTGGGGGGGGGGGGGGGGGGGGGGGGGATCAAAGAAGCAAGATTTACGACACTCGCCCTGCAACTCTGACTGGTTCGGAACTCGCATAAAAGTGGCCACTGTGCCCACTGCGATGATTCAGCGTGTCATGCACAATGTCGTGGACTGCGTGCGCGAAGGCATCGAACGTGACTGTGGCCACTTTAGTGGCGTCAACTTTCATCAATGACTTGTTTACATGACCATCCCCTAGTTTCCACATTTCCACATTTAAATATATAGTTCAGCGTGAAGTTTGCAGTCTAAAACTCGATTTTTCAAACTGTTGCCGAGTTCTCTAAGCTTCGTAATGCATCCTTTAAATGTACGCCAATTCATTCAAATATTCTACTTGTTGCCTTGGAATATTATATTCTTGGAATATTGCAGGGGCTAAAATACTTCCAAGTTGAATTGTCCGGAACTGTCACTGAATATGGATGTTTTGAGCTATCCTAAACAAGCTCGACTTCTCCCTTGGACGTAGGAAAAACAAGGAAAAAGCAGCATGAACAGGTAAAACCGATTCAATAAATTGCTAATTCAAGATCAAAGTGGAATCCCTTGAAACAATTACAATGTCTACATTTCCAATGACCAATTTTATTCCATTGAAATATAGTAATTTAAATCTAGCATTAGACGTCTAAAAAACTATTTCTATTTTTTTCTTATAATAGCCAGAAGAGGCTTAGCGAAAGAGATGCTGAGGAGAAGGAGATGCTCAAGAATGAAATGGAAGTTGCAGTCATGCATTACAACTACCAAATGAGCCGATTGACTGGAGGGTATTTGATCAGGAAGCAGGAACTGATCGATGGCGATGAAAGACTTCGAAAGGAAGCTGTTGATGCATTACGTAGGATGGAAGTGCGGTGGCCGCAACTATTAGAAAAATACATCGACGACTTGGAAAAAGTATAATCATTTATGTATTTCATATTCTTTACTGTATTGACGGTTACTTTCTCTTTTCTCTCTCCTAAATAGCTTCTGGAGGCCCAGTATGAGGTCTATGTGCAGAAACGGGATGAAGGCGAGAGAGCAGCAGAGATGAAGCTAAACAACGCCCTGATCTCAGCTGCGAGTGAGTATGACATCCAATTGAGCCGATTGTGCCAAGAAGCTGAAATCAGTGAGAAGGAGCTGATGAAGAGAGAGGAAGTGTTTTATAAGCAGGCACTCGCGTGTTTCTTAGAAGAAGGAGCACACTGCCCATATCTAGCAAGGGAATATAAGAAAGAGCTGAAAAAGGTCCACATCAGTTCATCCTACATGAACCATAGTGCATCTCATGGCAAAATATTTCTTTTCTTTTCGCAGATTTTGGACGAAAAGTATGAATTGCTGACAAAACATAAAAAGGAACATATTAAGTCCGCGGATGCCCTCCAGAGAAAGAACTACGACCAGGTAAGTCGCTGATTGGCTGATCATCTGATAAAGAGGAAATAACTTCCAATTCTGCTACTGCTTCTGAATGCCTTCAATTCATGGGTGTTAATGCAACTTGAGGGAGTACGCAGACGCATTTGAATAGGATAATTGAGGAATGCCCTCTACCAGCTATAGGCCTACCATATCCACCCCTATCCGGTTTCCTCAATAAAATCAGACCAAAATGTCGGATGACAAAATGCGGAAGTCTCTTTTATGGGACAATGCTTCATCTTTGGCTTAGCCACGGCTGGATAAACACGATACATTTGAATAATGAGAGCCAATATTCTCTTTTGAGGCTTGCTTTAGCCTAGAATTTACATTCTGCAACACACGGACATATAATGCATCACCACACGGAATGGTTTCGTGGGAAGTTAAGAATGATCTCGGTTTGTCGGTTGTGCTGCAGGGAAAACAAACAAGATTTCCTGACTGCAAATGCGATGGCGACTACTTGCCCAACATAGTTTGTTACCTTATACAGTATTTAACCATTACACATCTTTAGTAATTTTGGAGCAGTATTATAAATGTTCTCCACAAACGACGCCGGGGAAGGTATTGCATTTCCCTGTTATATTCGACCAATGTGGCGACCCAATCAAACTGGACCCAGGATAATTCTGAGCAGGGTGATGGAAATAAAAATGTTTGCGACGGCATATTACTCCATACGACTACGACGCCCTGTCTTCGAGGATGAATCCAAATCGTGATCATTGTGGAAAGTTACTTGGAGTGAAGGTAGCCATTATTACATCACATTAATCATGCTGGTGTCCTCCTGCTTCCGGGGAAACAGGATAGCTCTTTCTCATCTCGGTATTAAGTTCATATTGTTCTTGGATGGGGGTATCTTTAAAAAGCGGATTCGGAGGATGGAGATAGTGTCTACATGATACTCAAATAATACTTCAGTCATGAAACGGCGCATGCGGAAGAATTAAACAGATTGTTGAGACCTTCGTCAGGTTGGTATGACAGAATAAATGTTGACAGGCCAATATTGCTTCAACGTTAGCTGCATCGATGCAATAACGCCGAATCAACGTTGATTCACCGTGAGTTTGCTACTTGTCTTAACTCTGGTCTGTCGTCGTAAGCTTGATTGGTTATAGACTTTGGCCTTTTCGTCGCCTCAGGCTTGGTTTTACTACGCATTCTCCTTACTGTACCATTACAAATACCCAGTTGTGCTGGAGTTTTATGGGACAAAATGCCATCGTCAAACAGAGAAACCATGTTGTTGCGAATAACTCAGGAAATGCGTTTCGTGACCTAAGGGAGTACTGAAGGAAGGAAGGAGTTGGAAGTAAGCTAGAGGGTGCAAATGGTTTCTTTTTATAGGTTTAGAGAAATCAGAATGCATTCGTCGCGATTAATGAATGTCGATTTGTCTGACTGAAAAAAATGCTCAAAACTGGTCCAATTCACTGACACCTGTGAAAGCTCATTACTTCACGAATATCCACTTGTTCAATACAAAACCAATAGGCATTGGAAGCCAAGAGGCAGGGCTATCATCCCTCCAAATATGGTTTAGATTGAATACTGATGAATATACAGGGTTGTGCAAAAGTTCCCGTACACTTTGATTAGCGCTTCGATTCTTTTTAGGCGCCATAGCTCCAGAGAAAAAAATTCAAATAAGGAATGAAATTTAATATAATGAAAACATTTCGTATCAAAAATGTCTGTAGAATTAAAAAAACACATCAGAATCGTCAAAAATCCTTTGATTAGTGAAAATGTTAGATTTTCAAAGTGTACGGGAACTTTTGCACAACCTTGTATATTCGCCTCCAAGCACCAAAACCAGAAACTTTTTACCAGTTTTGCTGGCCACTGCATTTCCAAGATTCCAACAAAAATATTCGATTAGTAGTGTCTGTTTCGAACAATACTTATTTAGAATCTTTACTCGGGTGCAAAATTCCAAAAATAACAAGAACGGGAAAGGGAACAATGAGGATGATGTACAGGTACGGACAGAAAAGGGAAAGGCAGGCAAACTCAAAGACTTCAAGACAAAACCAATAGGTATTGGGAGCCAAGAAGCAGTGCTATCTTCCCTTCAAATATGGTTTATTGAATACTCATGAATTTATTAGTCTACAAACACAGAAGGCTCCAACATTGGACCAGTTTTTCTGGCCACTGTTTTTCCAAGGTTCCAAAACAAATTTCCGATTAGTTGAGTCTGTCTGGAAAAATATTCATTTAGGATCGTTTCTCGGACGCAGCATTCCAAAAATATGAAGAACGGGAAAGGGAACAATAAGGATGATGCACAGGTACAGACGGAAAAGGGAAAGTCACGCAAACGTCGTGCTCCACAGCCACCTACCCAGGAAGAAAGCACTGTCATCCCTCAATCATCTCCATCGCCTCCTCAGATTCAAAGCTCCCCCGTTCTTCGATCAGCTGAAAACAGTATGTACAACTCTTCCATCCTCCTACCTCAGATTTTCTGCCCATGATCTGACCCTTGTGATGTAATTGTCGTGTAGGGGTTATTAATAGTGCTGTCCCTAATGCTTTTTATTGAAATATGTGAAAACTTCTTGATGACCCATACGAAACTTAGGTTGAAACTTTGTGGGCATGTAGTTCTATGAGAATTGATTTCGGTAGAAAAAAGGTACTTTTCGGTTAAAACGCCTCAAGGCACATATATTTAAAATGACGTAATTGCTCTAATTTCTGATCCAGCGAAACAGAGGGCGCTAGAAAGTTTAAACTTGGCAAAGAATAACCTGATGTATAGCTGAGTAAATAAAAAATTCTACTTTTATTATATATAAACAATGGTGAGTAGCTGACTGACACAAGTCGCATGCTGAGTTGAGGAAAAATTATAATTTTGTGATACATAGGGCACAACTTTTCGGGGAACATATTTTCAAATAGATCTCTTTGCTTCAATCAAACGGAGGCACATGGAAAACTGAAACTTGGCAAGAACATGACTGCTGAAGCACTGAGCTCAGGAAAAATGTCAAAATTGTCCAAATATTGGGTTTTGGGGGGAGATATTTCTTGGGGACGTTACGTTTTCAAAGACGTTTACACATCCAGCGAATCGGGCAGAAATAGGAAAGTAGCAGCTGGCGCAGGCATGACGGACGTGATGTTGATTTTATGAAAATTCAACTTTTGTTATGCGTCTCCTCAGAGCACAGCTTTTGGGGGGGTCGCTTTTCCAAATATATTTTTACCGCCAGTAAAAAGGGGAAACGTATAAGGCTGAAACTGGGTGGCATGGAGTTCCCTGAGTCTACATTTCAGAAGAAAAAAAAAATTCCGTTAAAACCCATCACGGAACTTTTTTAAAGTTCCTTTTTTCTGAATTTTTTTTTGATCCAACAAAACAGAGACAGAAAATGTAAACTTCCCTCAGAAGTACCTATTTGATGGCTGAGTACAGGAAAAATCCTACTTTCGAAATATGCCACATTAGCGTAGATTTTAGGAAGGAAGTACTTCAAAATGTATTCTCCACCCTTACAAAAAGGGACACAAATGATTTCAAGTTAGGCACACATAAATTCATAGAAGTAATGATTTTGATTTAAAAAATCAAGATTTTTGTCCCCATATGTCACGTATTTCAATGGACACGCACTTTAAATACGTGTTTGCCATTTCGCAAAGAATAAATTAATTAATCACTATCCAATGTAATGGAGCGCCGAAGGCGCGATCATAGTGAGTTTGTTTTTCCCGAAGGGCAAACAAACTCGCTAGTATCATATATATTTGACTCGCAATGATTGGATTGACCCCCCCATTAAAATACTATTTTATTTGGCTAGAAAATTTCACGCATTCCACTACTTCAACGGATACGACTGCTTTGAAGTAGTAGTGGTAATTATAGGATTTAGAGGTTGTAATAGTTCCCAAGAACCAAAGTGCAGCAAACTGAACCCCTCATGAGTGTATGGCTGCATAACCAATAGATAAGCGTCGTTTTGATGAAAGGCTAGCAAGAATGTGTGCTCTTCAACCAATAGGGTTTTGGCTTTTTCCCGTTCCCAGTGGAGGAGAAGTGTCGAGTCGTGTATTCATATGACGCTCAGAGTCCCGATGAACTCACAATTGGTGAAGGGGATATCGTGACTATATTGGAAATGGATGACTCAGGCTGGTGGTATGGAGAACTCCAAGGTCGGTTGGGATTCTTCCCTGGCAATTACGCTCAAATCATCTTCGACTCGGACCAGGTGATTCTCTGACTTTATTGTCTAATAGACGATGTAAGTACGTACATACATGCAATAACTAAAAAATGAACGACAAGTGCAATCCAGAGCTCCTGAGGCGTTTTTACTTGACGGCTAAATACAGGAAAGCCACTGGCAACAACCTTCCTTTTTAAATCAGTCTTGTTTACTTCTAGCATAACGGCATATCCTGCACCATTATCCATAGAAAATATGAAAAAAGACAAGAATATTGTCAATCTCACATTCTGATGCGTGATTTTCAGATTTCAGAAGCAGTACCTTGAATATATAGTACAAGTTGCGGACACCATAATGATCGATTGGATAATGTCAATTGACCAACATGGGCCGCAACATTAGGAAACATGTGCAGTAGATCCAAATGATGTATTGGTGATAATGCAGTAAGCATATGAGTTCATGAAAATATTTTCTCAAAATATTGCCATAAGTGCGTTTTTTTTCCTGCTTCAAGTAATTACTGATTGGAAGAATTGCATTTGGGAATCCATCCTGCAGCTTCGCAAACCCACCAATCTTCTGTGGTAAAATCCCATTCCCGAACTCTGGATTTCCTTATATTGTCTGCCATTTACGATATTTACTTCGTCTTTGTTTCTAAGATGCTCTGGGCCAAATTAAAATAAATATACCAGGATCAACCAACAAGTTTCTCAACTGATGCATACATCGAAGTCATTAGGTGAAGTTGGATTTAAGTACTCCTCCAACAGTCTAACCATTTCTCTGGACTTTCCAATAAAGAAAACAAATTATTCATGTACTGTTTTCTATTGGATATGGGAACCATTGTTTAAAGGTGTCATACATCTACTGACAGGAAAGTGCTGCCTTCAGGGGCTATACTATTTCACTCTTACATCGACTTGTTTTTGTTTTGGGTCCTCGTCAAATCACCGAATCGAAGACTGTGTATCCTCTCAGAAATAGATGAAATTTGGAGTGTGGGGTTCTTCTAGGAGGAGACAGAGGTTTCTCATTTTTTTCATATTTGCAGCAAATTCTTCGAACGTTATCCGCATACGAAATTTCAGAGGCGAAGCCTGACCTGTTGAAATAAGCTTATAAAACCAGAAGTTATGGTTGGATGTCAATTAACAAGGGGACTTTCAAGAGACAGAACTTGGGATTCCAAAATATGTAATCATAACGGAATTAAAAAATATATTTCAACATCTTCACACGTCCATGAAACTTTTGACCTTGAATTTCACCGTGTTGATCCAAAGCGAAAAATGGAATTTTATTGTCGAAACACCTATGTTTTAGGTAAAGCAAAGTTTCATTGACATAATTTTTTTGTTATGCCTCAATTAATTTTCTAAATGGGCACATCATCCCCATACGTCCTTCAAAACGCTGAACTTAAGGCTAGCATTACATTGAGGAAGGGCTTTTTCTTCTTTGGATTAATGCTGCGGTAATTTTGGATACCCTTAAAGAAAATTCAAATTGGAATTGCATGGGAATCATGAAGGATTCCAAAAAATAAATAGGACTAAGACCACACTCAATCGAGGTTCATATGGGAATTGTGAAGGAATGTGATATTAATTTATCCATTGCTTAATTCATGAGTCAGGAGTCAGGAGAGTTAGTGATATCAAGAGGCGATTTCGCCCATTTCGATATCACGTGTCGAGGTCGAGCGTTCCTTAATTTTAGGGTAGGCCTAACCCTCTTGAAGCTAAATATTTTTGTATTTTTGTTTTGTTTTTTTTTTTATTTTTTTATTTTTTTTTTACTATCTTAGTTGCTAACTGTCTAGTACCTACGTCAACATTGCCCCCACCTTTTTGCCTGTCCATGAAAGCATCTAGTTTCTTCTTAAAGATAGTCACAGAAGGGGCAGCCACTACTTCGTCATCTAACGCATTCCACGCGTTCACCACTCTGCAAGTAAAGAATTCCTGTCTCGACCTGAGCCGCACCTGCGGTTTGCGCAACTTAAGTCGGTTACCTCTCGTTCTCTTGCTGTCATCAAACTGGAA